TACCAGAGATAGCAACCCCCTGCCTATGGTCTAGTTTCCACTTTACCTCAAGTCCTCTGAGCTAAAATGAGCCTATCAAATTGATGTGTTCCCCAATAAATTCAATAACATTATAAGGAATGGATTTTCATTTGGATGTGTCTAAGAATTCTATGAGCATGCCCACTGTTGTGTTATTCACTGTATTTCAGAGAATCAAGTTACCTAAGATTGACTAAGAATCAATTGTTCTTCCCAGTTGTCCAAGCATGAGGCCTGACCTCAAGATAGTATCATAAGCTGAATACCCCCACGTGAAATTCTTCAGGAAAATCTCCTGTTTTGCTCAAAGCAAAAACTCATTTTTGAGATCTTCTCAAAAATAGGTAACAGAATATTTCCTCTCATACAATACTCAAGGTAACAAAACATGTATAACAGGACAGCCTTAATTTCATTCTACAGAAAATAAATAAAATACAAAGGACTCATACATGTCCATAACCAGATACCTAAATACTCATAAGGAAATTGAAATTGGTGTTCCTAACAGGACAATCCTTTGACATTCTAGGGAGTCCCCCTTTCTCACACAGCCATGTGCAGTCCCCTTATTCAATAATCTCCTTTCCATTGGAGGAACATTGTCTTTCCTTTTACTGGCTCTGCTCTTTAAATAGACACTCTTCTTTCTTCTCCTTGGAGTATACTGTATCAAGAAATTCTCTCCTCTCTCTAGAAGGTCAAGTGTCCAAACTGTCAAACTCTGGCACATTATCACCTATGAGACAACTCCCAAAGCTGTGATTCCTGTCTTGGGTAAAGTGAGCTGGTACATGTCTATTTCTGCCATGTGCTTCTTCAGGAAATTCCTCAGTGGCCTGCTAACTACCAGCTGCTGATCTGGGAAAATTCATTCACATCTCCAGTCTCTCTGACTTACTTAGAAAGCAAAACAGAAAGGCAGAAGGTAGATAGGAATTTGAGGTCCAGGAACTCCCCTCTCAGGCTCCCTGGCCAAGCATACACAGTTTGTTGTGTTATTCTGCTACAATTCAATATTAACTCTCCCTGTTTGTAAGGAAGTTTCACATGAACAGAGGGTCTTCCCTACTCCTCAATCCACCAGGCCCCAGAATACAAGTTCATACTACTGTGTTCTGTTTTTTCTCTTTCTTTGATCTCTTTGGGATACAGCTCTCTCTCTCTCTCTCTCTCTCTCTCTCTCTCTCTCTCTCTCTCTCTCTCTCTCTCTCTCTCTCTCTCTCTCTCTCTCCCTCTCCCTCTCTCTCTCTCTCTCTCTCTCTCTCTCTCTCTCTCTCTCTCTCTCTCTCTCTCTCTCTCTCTCTCTCCTCTCATACATGTATACATACACACGCCTATAAGTCAGGATGGAAATCCCCAATGCAAAGAGAAAGTCCAAGAAAGAACAAACAGTTCACTTTTATAGAATGTAGGAATGAATGTGTGATTCCTAATCTATCATAGAAAAATAGATTGAAGAGTTGGAAGGAAAATTAAAGGTCATAGAGTCTAACCTCATTCTTTTTAAGCTTCAAGATTCACATGAACAAAATAGAAATTTCTTTATCTTAATTTTGGAAAGCTTGAGAGATTCTAATAAATGACTTTTTTAAAAAAATCAACTTTTTAGAAATTGCTGAATATGGCTAATAATCTCAGGCTCTCTATCTATTACACTTTTATCACTTGTAACTTCAGGAGGATATCCGTTATGTAGAAACATTCTTTGCAAGAAATAACATTTTCAGAGCATGGCTTCGTTCATTCTATGACTTACAAGGGACCTCACATTCCTATAGACATGAATGAGGCACAGTTATGTATTAGGGAAGAACACTGGACCTGGATTTTTGTCCCAGCTTTGCTATTTACCAACTATATGACTATGAACAAGTCATTTAACTTAGTTTTCTCATTTGTGAAATGTAGACTGCAATATTTTCACACTTTTCAAAACAGGGTTGTATTGAGTAAAGTACTTTGTGAATTATAATATTCCACTACTGTAAATATGTTGAAGGTTCAGGACAATACTGTAGTCTACTGAAATCATTTCTCTTTTCTCTCCCTCCTGATTTAGTACACTCCCCAGCATTCAGAATTACATAATCATAGCTTCTCCATCTGGCTTGCATTCAGCCCTGATGACACAGTGCTGATGTCAGAGTTATAGGGGCCTCTACTCTCCTGTCCTCATGCAGTTAAAATTACTTGAAAAATTGGTGTCTGGCAGGGGCAGGTGCCCTCTCCTGCCTCCCTTTACCCAAGTGTAGCAGCACTCTTTCCCTCAGTTGGGGCTCCTGACATTTCTCCCCAGAAGGTCCTAGAGATTCTGATATCCTCTCCTTAGGTAGATTGCTCACTTCTCACCTCTATCAAGGTTTCCCTTTCTCCCCCTCTCTTAGAATGATGGAGAAGGAGAGTGCCCTTTGGGACCCCAGTCACAGCCCCTTTAGTCATTGAGTCAAAATGCATTGGGGATGCCTATCCTGACTTACAGGATAGAAATACAGTGTGTATTGTATGTATGAGGAGGGAGAGAGAGAGAGAGAGAGAGGCTTGCATCCCAAAGAGATCAAAGAATGAGGAAAAGGATCTATATATACAGCAGTATTTATACTAGCTCTTTTTTGTGGTGACAAAGAATTGAAAATTGAGAGGATGCCCAACACTTGGGAAAGGGTTAAACAAGTTGTAGTATATGATTGTGATGGCATACTGTTGTGCTATAAGAAATGAAGACCACGGTGGAAAATGTGGAAGACTTCTATGAACTAATTCAAAGTGAAGTGAGCAGAACCAAGAGAACATTGTACACAGTAACAGCAATATTATGTGATGACCAACTGTGAATGACTTAGCTACGATAATCCAAGACAATTGCAAAGGACTGGTAATGGAAAATGTTTTCCACCTGTACAGAGAGAATGGATGGAATCTGAATACAGAATGAAGCATAACTTTTTCACTTTCTTTATTTTTCTTGCTGTTTTGCAACACAGTTAGTATGGAAATGTTTTACATGGTTTCACATCTACAATTGATATTACATTTCTTGGCTTCTCAATGGGAAAGGGGAGGGAGAGAATTTGGAACTCAAAAAAATTTTTTTTAAAGAATGTTAAAAATAAATAATAAATTTAATTTTAAAAAATTTTATGATTCCACATCTATTCTGTGCCAGATACTGTATAACCTCTGAGGATACAAAAAAGAGGCAAAAGACAGCTCCTGAACTCAAGGAGCTTACAACCTAATGATTAAGAAAACATGTAAATAGATATGTACAAAGCAAATTATATACAGGATAAATAGGAAATAATTAGGAGGGGGAAGGCACTGGAATTAAGAGGTATCAGGGAAGGCTTCCCGTAGAAAGAGAGATTTTAGTTGGGACTGAACGGAAGCCATAGAAGTCAGCAGTCAGAGTGGAAGAGGGAGAGTGCTGCTAGCATGGGGGACAGTCAGAGAAAATTCTGGGAGCTGAGAAATGGAATGTTTTATTCACTAAAAAGTCAGGAAGCAATAGCACTGGGTTGAAGAGTAGTGTTGGGGAATAAGGTGTACAAAAACTGGAAAGGTAGGAGGGGACTAGGTTACAAAAGGCTTTGAATGCCAAACAGAGTATTTTGTATTTGCTCCTAGAGACAAGAGGAAGCCAGTAGAGTTTATTGAGAAGGGGAGTAGCACAGTCATATTTGCTTTTTAAAGAAATTCGTTTTAGTGGATGAATGGAGAAAGAATTGGAGTGAGGAGGGACTTAAGGTAGATAGTTCCACCATCAGGCTCTTAGAATAATCAAGGCTTGAAATAATGAGGCCTGAATTAGAGGGGTAGCAGGATGAGAAAAGAAAAAGGGTTGCAGTCAAGAGATCTTGCAAAGACTTCTATTCGGGCACAGGTTGGGTTATGTGGCCTCTCTGAAATCTCTTCCAACTCAATCAATCAAAAAGCTTACTATGTGCCAGGCCCTGTGTTATGTGATAGAGATACAAACACAAACATGATAATACAGTATGTGAGTGATTGGTGTAGTTTGGGTCTGAAAAGGGTCACATAGATGTGAGCCATTATCATAAGAGAACACATGATACTTAAAAAAGTAAACTTTGGGACTTAGAATTGATCAATCAAAAAGCATTTATTAAGGGTTTATTGTACAACAGTAAGAAGAACTTAATTTTAAATCTATATTAATTATCACCTCTCTAATACTAACTTGCTGTGTTTTTTTTTCCAGGTCCTCTGTAAGCCTTTGTTTGTTTATAACTACAAAAGTGGATAAAACTACTTCCTGTACTTATTTCACAGATTTCTTGGGAGGAAAATACTATTTAAACCTTTAAAAACTATGTAAATGTATGCTATCATCTTTAAGAATTCATTTTCAATTACCTTTATGCTTCTCAGCTCTACCAATCCAACTGCCAAATAATTAATGACCACTTAAATTCATTAGAGAAACTTGATTTTTTAAAGAAGGTGAGGACACGGGGAGATAGCCCAAGGGCACTGGCTCTGCTGTCTTAGTGACCTTAAGCAGCTCAGTTTATCAACATGATCCTCAGTTTCCTCATATGTAAAATATGAGATTTGGAACAGAAGGCATCTGAGGTCCCGTCTAGCTCTAGGGCTATGATTCCTTTTGTAAAACAAAAATATATTTTTATGTGCTTACTTGTTAAACCATTCTATCTATTTCTTAAGTGTCTACTATGTGAAGGCACCATGCCAAGTCCTCCATATCCCTAGAGTACATTTATGTCTCTATAGTGCCTTGTCCATCATAAGCACTTAATAAATGTTTGTTAACTTGTTTAAAAAAGATACCCTTTAAAAATTGAATACCACCACACAACTCAGTACAACTTATGTATAAGCTTTTTTTAAGTGAATTTTCTCATATGAGGTATTCTAAACAATTGTACACCTCGGGTACTGGCTAGCTATTAACAAACACAATAGTAAAGCGTGTATCCAAAGTTAAACATATGTACCTCTTTCTTTTAGGTCTTCAAGGTAGGCTTTCATAAACTCCTTTTCAAAATGCTGGCGATCTTGCTCACTTCCTGTCATTTCTTCACTGTCTTGATAGTTGGTTTTGCCAATTGGGTTATCCATGAGGCTTACAAATCTATTATAAAAGACATAAGAAAATACTATTTTCCTTTAACCTTTTCATATATAATTTCCTTTTTTTTTCTTTCAAGTGAATCTACTATATATGGCTTTTTCTTACTAACTTGAGAACAACCTCCTGCAATTTAGGGTCTGGTAGTTACCAAGACTCCCCTTTCCTTCTTGCTGCTTCATTTTAATATTTACTCTCTTTCTCCTTTTCTGCCTTTCTCTCCACGCCCCCCCCCGCCCCCGCCCCCAAGCCGAATGTCATGCTCAAAAGGTCCTCATCCTCCCTCCCCACCCCAGTCTCTTGCCTTTGCTTCTCATCACATCCCAGCACTGGGGGAGAGCAAGAGCCTAGTGATAGAGCTGGCGGTGGAGAGGGAAAGGGAAGGAAAAAAGAGGAAAATAAATACCTTCCAGCCATTGTCTCCTTCCCCTATTTCTTTTCCCTCATTCCCAGTACTACATTGGTTTGCAGAGCCCTAACCGGCATTCCCCAACCCACTACCATCATGCTTCTCACTCTAATGGCCCTTATCCCAGTGATGAAATATTTGAATTTAGGATTTCCTCTGAAATAGAGGAAGAACAGGAGAAATTAAAGGAGGTAGAAAGAAAGAGAGGGAAAGAAAACTTTAAGCGTTCTAATTTCCCCCTGAATACAATGCATTACTGAGCTTAGAGAAGTTATACTTCATCTGTTAAAATTAAAAGAAACAACAAGAGGGTGGGTGCAAAGTAAGGCTTACATTGAAATGAATGACAGGTGAGTAACTACATGTCAGTTGCCCAAAAGTTTTTCTAATATCATTGTTATATGGAAAGATTTAAATATTTAAACATATGATACAGGAAAACTTCATTTAATCAGAACACTTGCTTAATCATTTATTTCACTTGACCTACTTTTTCAAACAAACAAGGAAAAATACTGCCAGCAATATAATTTTTTTTAAAAAATCTGACAGAGCCACTTACCCTTATCTCCTTTATTTACAATAGTATACCAAAGGAATTGATCTTAAGGATTAGGACCCCTAAAGACTTTCAAAATCTTTAATTCATATATGCAAAAACTATAAATAATGTTCATACACTGTAGTTATTAAACAAGACAGTAGATTAAAAAAAACAGGATGTGAGCAAAAGAGGCTTCTGGGTAACAGGTAATCAAAATGTCACGTTATCCAGAGGATTCCATTTCCCAAGCTCAATTTTATTAATTGAGATTTCATGGTGCTTTATATTTTAATGTCTCCCTAACTTTCATATACCTTACAGTGCTATAAAATACTATAAAAAAATCTGCACAAAACAAAATCTTATTCCCATTACATTATTATGTGAAATGACCAATCAAAGCTGCATTTCTTAAAGGAGTACACTTGACTAAATCAAAGAAAGACTGTTTTTTTTCTTCCCATATTTCTTTTTTGATCATCATTTATTTTATTTTCAGTCTAAATTCATTTTAGTCTATTTTTTTTCCTTTTCTCTACTTACTTTAAAGTGCTTGACTCACAAATAGCTGTTGGAATCTCCACCAAATCTTCCCCACTGACTACTAACAGCGTGAGCTTTGTTAAGTTGAGCAAAGCCTTAGGGAGGTAGGTCAGTTTGTTTTTATGTAAGAGGAAGGACTGCAATTCTTCCAGCCTGAGAAGAAGGAAAAGACATCATACTTCAGCAAACAAGACACTTGAGTACAAGCCTGTGTTAGCACAATTTGTCAACTCCTTTTGGTAGAAAAATTTCATGGTGACTCTGACTTTGTGTAGACCCTTTGTATGGCTCTTGGATAACCAGCTGAAACTAACAATCTATCAGCTCAAATAAAACTGATCCTTTTTTAATAATCAATTAATCAACAACCATTTATAAAAGCACATACTATGGGCTAGGGTGGTACTAGAGATTTTTAAAAAATGAAAGATTGTTTGCTTTCAAGGAGCTTATACTCTATTAGGAGATTTAACCAATAGATACTATTATGTTGATAAATTTATTTCTTCATCATCAGCACATTTACATAATACTTGATGCTGAAAAAGCACTTTTTTTTTCTCACAACTATCCTATTGTGAAGCTTCACTTTTTAGCTGGAAAGGTAGCAGATTGAGAGCCAGTATCAGAGTCAGGATGACCTGGGTTCAAGCCTTGATTCTGACACATACTGTTTCTCAATGTTCCAATAAGTTGCAGATAAGGTGTCACCCTGGTAGAAGGACTTTGTTTGTTTATTTGGTTTTTTGTATTACCAGAGAGTTCCCTACAACAGTGAAATCACAAGCCAGTCTATTCCATTTTTTAGATCAGGAAAGTGAGGTTCTGAAAAGTTAACTGATTTGTCCATGGTGATTTAGCTAATAAGTATCAGAGCTAGGATTTTAACCACATTAATCTCTGAGTCCAACACTTTTTCCCATATATAACCACAATGTGGTTAGCTGGGAAAGAGTGGTCTTAACGCAAAGGACCTCAGTTCAATCTTGCCTCTGATGCTTACTACTTGCATGGGTAGACCATTTCTATATGTTCATCTGTATGACTAGGTGATTAGACTAGGTGGCCTCTGATCCCTTTCAGATTATGAGATATTGTGAAAGTTAATTATACTTTAGCAAAAGAAGATATGAGCAATAAGAATTAATAAATTAAACCAACCATATTTGGTCCTGTGAAATGTTGAAATCACATAACTACTTTCTCCATAATTTTCCTATCTGTATCTGAAGAATTACTTTGAAGTTAGTGACTGACTTGCATAGGGAAGAGGTAATAAATGATATGAGTATTTCATTGAAGATATGTTGATGTAGCATCAGTTGATCTCATGTTAACTTAATGCAATTCCTTGCACATAGTAGCTATTTGATAAGTGCTTGTTAAATTGAATTGAATACAGAAAGGTAATGGTACAACGAGGTGCCAATTAAAGACTTAAGCGAGTTAAAGAGTTCCTAAAACAAAGAATCCATAAAGTGATAGTTAATCACTAACATTAAACAACAATTCACAGCATAGGCTTTAAATTATACAAAGCCCTTCCTTAAAAGAACTTCATGAGGTAAGCAGTACAAATATTGTGCCTATTTTACAAAGGGAAAACCAGTTCAGGAAGTGAAATAACTTTACCAATGATACCTGCTTAATGAGGATCAGAGTCAATGTCAGTCAGATGGTACTCCAATCCATGCCTCTTAGATTCAAAGATAACATTATTTCGCCTGGTCAGTTAGGTAGCACAGAGCATAAAGGGCCAGGCCTGAAGTCAGGAAAATTCATCTTCTTGAGTTCAATCTGGCCTAAGACATTAGCTGTATGAACCTGGGCAAATCACTAAACCATGTTTGCCTCAGTTTTTCCATCTGTAAAATGGGCTGGAGAAAAATTGCCCAACCACTCTAGTATCTTTGCCAAGAAAACTCCAAATGGGGTCACAAAGAGTCAGATACGACTGAACAACAAAAATTATTTCCACTACCTCATGTAGCAAAACACTTTACTGAAATCAAAAGAAACCCTAAAATCAATTGTTGTTTCAGAAAGAACTTGTTACATGTTTTCTCCAAGGTTATGCTTGGTCCAACTTTTCACAAAAATCAAATGCTTTACCTTGTAATGTAAATAGCTACCTGTCTATATCTTGTGGAAGATCATTTACTGATTGTTGCTGATGTCCAACCACTGTAAATTTGACATCCGGAGAACACATATGGGAATACTGGACAACTTATTTGCTGACACATCTACAAACGTAACTTGTTTCAAATTACTTAGCTAGAAAGAAAGAATAACACATTTTAATTACATATTATGGAAGTAAAATAATGTCTACAAATAGGTTTCCGTTTGAAGGTTTGGGGTTTTTTGTTTTGTTTTGTTTTGTTTTTAATCTTGTTTTATTTTGTTTTTTGCCTCCTTGGGAATATGAAAAACAGCACTAGCATGGAGAGAGGAGAAATGTGTGTGACAAACAACTGCAGTGGTCTTCTTACTGTTTGTCACACCCGGCATTCCTCACCCCACACCCCACCCTCTCCCATGCCTTTGTATCATTACCTATTCCTTATGCCGGCAATACTCTGTCTCCTCACCTCTGCCCCTTCATTTCCATGGCTGCTTCATGACTCAGTTGAAATCCCACCTCCTGAAGTATGAGTGCCTTCCTGTCTCAAAAAATCTTCCATCTAGTCTATCTTATATGCACCTAGTTATTAACATGTTGTCTCCTCAATTAAACTGTGAGTTCCTTAAGGATAGGAACTGTTTTTGTTTTGCTTTTTTGCCTTTTTTATATCTTTAGAACTTAGCACAATGCTTATCACTTAGTAAGCACTTAATAAAAGCTTGTTGATTGTTGATAAATGGTCCTTACCCTTAAGGAGCTTCTAATTTTGTGAAGATACAACACCAAAAAAATTGTAATAAAAAGAACATGAAAAATTCATGAGAGATATAAAGAATGAGAGTTACAGGTAGAGATAGCACATTTTCTTGATGGGGCTGTGGATAAAGGAAAACTATATGTGGAGCTCATTTTAGAGCCTGGATTTGAAGAATGGAAAAAAAAATTTCAACAAGCATAAATTGTGGGGGAGGGCATGCTAAAAAAAAGAATGGCACAGAGTTCAGTTTGTTCAGGGAATGGTTAATGGTACTATTTGACTGGAGCATGGAATATGTGAAGGGGAGTAGTATCAGCCAATTAATAAATTGTATGCCTTTGAAACCAGGATGGTATACCAGTGCCATGCCAGGAAACTGAATCGCTTCCTTTGAATTGTCTTAGGAAGATTCTGAAGATCACCTGGAAAAATAATGTACCTACTTTCTTGAGTTGAACTGCCAAGCATTCAAACTCTACTGCAGAGAGTGCAATTAAGAAGGGCTAGCCATGTTTTCTGAGTGTCAAACTATTTTATGGAGAACTCAACACAAAGCAGGCTCTCACATGGTGGTCAGATGGAATGCTACAAGGACACTCTCATAGTCTCTCTGAAGAACTTTGGAATTGATTACGTGACATGGAAGATGCTAGTAAAGGACCACATACCCACATCAAAGAAGGCACTACGCTCTGTGAGCAAAGTAGAATTGCAGTAGCTCAAAAGAAATGTGAGATGTGCAAATTTAGAGACATCTCCACTCCAAATGTTCACATGGACTATTTCTGCCCAACTTGTAGTAGAGCTTTGCAACACTGTATTGATCTGATCAGCCACAGTCAGACATACTGTACCTTGACTCCAACATGGTGATGTCATTTTGATCCTGTTCAAGAAGGAAGGAAAACAACCAACCAAGGGAGCATTTATTGAATGTCTACTGTGTTCCAGGCACTTAGCAATGGGTATACAAAGAAAGGCAAAAAACATTCCTTGTTCTCCAGGAGCTCACAGTCCAATGGAGAAAATATGCAAACAACTACGTACAAACTACACATATATACATACATATATACATATATAGATGTATGCATAGTTTGTACATCTATAGAGTTATAGTTATAATTGTAGTTATATAGAGATTAAAGTATATATGTATATTTATACATATATAGTTATAGCTAAAATTATAATTATGTAGAGATTAAATAGATACGGTAAATTTATTTATTTGTATATATTGTGTATGTGTGTATATATGCATGTGTATGTGTATGTATAGTTGTTTAGTTTCAGTTGTGTCCAACACTTTGTGACCTTATTTGGGGTTTTCTTTGCAAAGATACTGGAGTTTGTCATTTCCTTCTCCAGCCCATTTTACAGATGAGGAAACTGAGGCAGACAGTGTTAAGTGACTTGTCCAGGGTCACCTAGCTAGTGTCTGAGGCCAGATTTGAACTCAAGTCTTCCTGACTCCAGGCCCAGAGCTCTGTGCCACTTAGCTGCTCATATATATGATATGATAAAATAAAGATAATCAAAAAAGGAGAGATATTAGGGTTAAGAGAGATCAGGAAAGCCTTCTTGTAGAAGATAATAATTTAGCTGGGATTTGAAGGATATCCCAGAAGCTGGAAGGTGGAGATGAGGAAGAAGAATATTCTAGACAGGTGACAACCAATGAAGGTGTCTGGGAGTCAGAAAACGGAGCAGCAATGAAACCATTGTCACTGGAGTAAAGAATTAATACTAGAAAAGTAGAAAGAGTCTAGGTTGTATAGGGCTTTGAATGATGAACAGAGGATTTTGTATTTGATCCTGGAGGTGATAGCCCCTGGAGTTTATTGAATGGGGAAGGGGGGGTGATATAGTTAGATCTGTACTTTAGGAAAATTAATTTGATAGCTAAATAGAGACTATTCTGGAGTAGGTTCGGGTTAGACAGGGAGACCAACCCAAAGGCTTTCCCGATAGGCTAGGCGTAAGGTGATATGGGCCTACATTAGGCTGGTGGCACTGTCTGAAGAAAGAAGGAGGCATACGAGAGATGTGATGAAGATGAAAATCAATGAGATTTAGCAATATATTGGTTATGGTAGGTGGGGCAAAGGTGAGGAATCAAGGAGTAAAAACATTATCTATTTTGGGCCAGGGGAATTGTATGAGGATTGAATTTTAAAGTAATTGATCAGAGGTCCCTAAGCTTAGTAGTTATAACTGACATTGTATAAGATTTTTACAGTTTACAAAGCCCTTTACATGTACCATCTCATTTTTCATTTGTGCAGAAACTCTGCTAGGTACGTGCTATAGGTATTTATGATAGGCATTATTTTATGGTTTCTGTTCCTGGTTTCTGAGTGCAGAAACATTGAAGTGTTAGTGAAGGAAAACACCTTTTGACCTCACATATAGCTTTGTTTGTGAAAGACAAAGTAACAGAGTATCATGAAACAATGGCTCCACATTTTGATGGAGTGTACAAATTTGATAGTTATTTTTGAACTCAAGATTTTAATGGCTAACTGTTATTGACTTGGATGGGAAATTTATGAATAAAATCTGTGCTGTTCCTGAGGATAAATCTTTACAAAATCTCTTTAAAGAGCCATTTAAACCTTCAAGCCTTCACCATATTTTATAAATGCCTATGGCAATAGGCATTACATGAATAACTAATAGAATGGTTTGACCCAAACACATAAATATAATATTAACGCAAAGTAATACCTTTCATCTGAATATATTTTAAATGCATTAAATATATTTCAAAGCTATCCATTTTATAGAAAGCCACGATACCAAGTCAAAAAAGATATTAAACAATAGCATCTCAGAGTAAATACTAGATACTAACTGCATTGTTCATAAAATAAAAACAGAGTTAAGTGTTGAAAGGGCTTTTTCATTGAGTAGCAAAAACTCTATCAGTCAGTAATTACTTTCTAAAGGGGAAACTGAGTTCCCTAGAATGAAGGGTATGATTATTATAAACTGTTCTGTCTCAGTAGCACTCACTACAAGCATCAATCATTTGGAAAGGAACTGTGTTTGAATTCGGTGCAAAAAAAAAATCCCTATTAAAAAACAGTTCTTATTAACTGATTCTGTTAGGTTTTTTTCTAAATTGTTTTCAAAATAACTGATGCTTTGATTATATTTCTTTATTTCTTTTTTGAGTGCAGTGCTGCTTACAACATCAGCCATCCATTTCTAGCGTCAAGATCTTGACAACTCTACAACGCCAAGAAAGTGCGAGCATGCATTTGAATGCTATACCTAGTCTTAGGAGACATAAAACATTCCTTAAAAAATAATGACACTTGGGACAGCTAGGTGGCGCAGTGGATAGAGCACCGGCCCTCAAGTCAGGAAGACCTGAGTTTAAATCCTGGCTCCGACCAAACACTTGTGTGACCCTGGACAAGTCACTTATCCCCAACTGCCTTAAAAAAAATAAAATAAGACAACAACAACAACCTAGATTTCGGTCAATATTTACCATGAGGGAAACTAATTGCATGTATAATAGTCAGTTAATCAACATTTATTAAGCACTTACTATGTGGATACAAAGGCAAAGACAGTCCCTGCCCTCAAGGTACATACATTCTAATAGCGGAAATGTTAATTCCACACAGGATTCCTATATTATAATGGCTTCCTGATTTCATCACTAGGACTCCTGTCTCAATTAGTGAAGATCACAGCACAACTAGACTCTGTCCTGGGTCCTCTCCTCTTCTCTCCTCTCCTCTCCTCTACCTCTCCTCTTCTTTGCTCTTTTGTCCTTTTATACTATTCCCATGGGGGTTCCCATCAGCTCCCATAGTTTCAATTCTTATTTATATGTAGATGACACTCAGATACAGTTGTCTGGACCTAATCTCTCTTCCAGCCTTTAGTTTTGCATTTCCAATTGACTTTTTTCCATTTCAAACTGGATGACTTATAGCCACCTTAATCTTACCATGTCCCAAACCAAACTCATTTTCTCTCCCCAAAACTGTTACCACTTCCAAACTTCGCTAATACTGTCAAGGGCCCCATCATCTTCCCAGTTCTCTTGAATCATAAACTAGGTGTCATCCTCACGTCCTTGATCTCTTACCACCACCCCCACATTCCATGAATGGTCAAGTTCAGTTGTTTCAACATTCTTAACATCTCCTGTATATTCTCCATTCCCTTTGCAACCACCTTGACTCAGGGCCCTTATCACCTCATGCCTGGACTATTGCAATAGCCTGCTGGTTGGTCTCTCTTCCTCAAATCTTTCCTCTCTCTAATCCATCCTCCATTCGGTTGTCAATGTTGTCTTTCTGATGTTCAGGCCTGATCGTGTTACACACATACACACACACCTACTCTCTCTCTCTCTCTCTCTCTCTC